TTTTTTATTATTTAAAAAATAAAAGTGTTCACAATAATATGATAGGCCTCTGTAATATAAATTGTATTATATCAATATTTAAATCCAATCAAAAGAATATAATGGTTTGGAAATACTTTACTATAAATGGTTTAGATCCATTAATTAGAATTGATAGATGACAAAATGCAACTAATTACATATAAGTTCTTAATAATTTTTTATTACCTTATATGGAGGGTCCTAATCAATATAATGAATATATATTTCAAGACAACATATCTATTTATTGAACACATAAGGTACAAACATGAATGTTTGAAAATAATATTATTAATATTTCATAACCTGCCTAAAGTCCTGATCTTAATTCTATAAAAAATCTTTGGAATGAATTAGAACATAAAATTCATAAACATAGATCATTACCAATTAGCAAAACTGAATTATTTAACTCTTTACAAGATGAATGGCTTAAGATAGATAGTTCTATTTATCAAAATCTTGTAATTAATATGCCTAATTATATCAAAGCAGTTAAAAAATCTAGAGAAAATCCTACAAAATATTAAGTAGATAATTAGAAAATTTAAAAGTTATAGCTTAGAAATATATAAAAATTAAATAAAAAATTTATTTAGTTTTTTTAGAAATTAAAAAAAAAATTTTTATTTTGATAGCCGATTTATGCCAAAATTGATCGCCGGCCGGTGACTTTTGTCAGGGGAGCAGAGTTTTTTTTCCTATTTTCAATGCATCCCCTTGCGCCACTCGTACAGTGTCCCTACCGCATTGGTACAGATATGCACATGGCGCATTTGGAGTGAGATTTCCGAAATTTATTTTTTCACGTGATGGGAATCGTGATCGTCACGCAGTAAAATTTACGAATTTTCAGATCACGTATTATAAACTGTATATATAGCCGGAAATTTCACTCTACATGCACCATGTACATATCTGTAGGGACAACTGTACGAGTGGCGCAAGGGGATGCATTTCATGCGACCGAAAATAGGAAAAAAACTCTGCTTGTCAGGGGAGTGTACTTGATATATTTGATATCCTTTCTTTAAATTTTCATAGTCACCTTTTTCTTCTAACAATATCTCAAAATTATTCAATAAGGATAACAAGACCTACAGTATATCAGTCAAAAAAAATTTTTTTTTAAATTATTATTTTAATAAATTATATAACTTTATATTTTTTATAATTTATAACTTATAATTTAATTTAGCACGAATGAATTATTATATACAGTATATATGGTAAAAATATAAATACACCATCAAATCGTATGGCGGCAGTAAAATCGATAGACGCGTCTTCGATACATGGAATTTACTCTGGACAAGTTATTTTTTGATTTGACAACTACGGTAAAAGAGAATGTTGAAAATAGCATAGACGCACGGGCAAAAACTATTGATATGACAATTTTTAAAGTAGTTAAAAGCAACAAGGAACGGAAATTGATTTGTGTTTAAGCTCTTGTACTATTCATTCAAAGCTTTCGCATCTAAGTAGATAACCGATAATAAATAAATACAAAATAAATAAAATCATATAACAACTTTGGTAAAGTGCAAGGTCGACCGTTGATGAAATAATATTGTCTATCTGCATTCCCACGACCATATCCTTTCATGGGTTTCGATATATAACCAACGAGATGAACGGAGCAGTGATCGCTGTAAACAAAGATAATAACCATAATTTTGAAATTAGATAGTACTCTACATTTTTATTCTCTGACCTTTCAAGTTGACTGTCCGAATCTTTTGGAGCCATTTGCCTCTCTGATTTCAACTTAATAGTGAAGTCCAACGGCACGATCTGGGTTACGATTTTTGCGCCAAATAAATTGGCAGTATTTTCTCGCATAGTGTCGTTGCAGCTGGTACTAATTACTATTGTTTTGCGCTATTGATAAAGGATAATTTGACCAATTAATTTTAGAAAGTAGAAATTCGAAACCTACAAATTTATTTATTATTTGGTTAATTTGTACGCAAAAAGAACCAAGGGCCTTCCCCTCTAAATCCAAAAGATTCGAATTTATAAAGATCCTTTAATTTCGAGAGTTTCGATGTGTAATATTTAAGACTACACGGATCATATTAATTATTGATTTTCAATAAATGACTGATATTTAAAAACGTAAAGTACCTACCAAGTTGCTCGTAATCAAGTTGATATATTCCTATGCCTTCGTCAATTACTTCAATTGAATGTAAACCATATTCTCTAAAACCAATTTCTATCGATCATGGGCACAACATACTGTAAATAACGGCTAAACGGATTGAGCTAAAGGCGTTTTGTGATTTCAGAACTGCAAAATGTAAGAAAAATATTTAATTTAATTGAACGGATATTCCGAATTTCAAGTTTAATTGATATATGTTTTTTTATATAGCTGCTTATTATGTTAACGTCAGCTTGGACAAAAGGACCATTTTTATTCATGACGAAAATAAGATCATTGAATCCTTAAAGTAATATTTAATAAACATCGTTGTAATCGTTTCTTGCTTATGTACTTAATTTTTTTATTTTGATTTTGATTTGGTCGTAGAAGAGCGAGATGGAACGCGTTATGGAACCTTTCAGATCTGCTTTCACTAGTCTTAATGCAGAAGGAACAAAGTTGCCTACAGAAGAAAACTTGTTACATCATTTGGATTCAAAGGATGTTAAAAAAAAAACACAAGAAAGTAAAGAAATCAAAACGCAAGATGCCTATAATAACAATTTTCTTGAAAGCGGGAGCCAATAAATTAATACTGAAGGCAGCGCAGTCCTAACTAATTATAATGATAAAAGAACTTTATGAAGAATTGAAAAAAAAGTAGCATCCCGGGATGATAGTACCAATGGATTATCTAGGAACAATTCTTTAAGAAATTGTCGGCTGTGTTTGATAAAGATAAGAAGACACTTGAATCAACATCAGGTCATCAGATTCATACTAAAAAGCGAAAAATTTCTCTTGAAATTGCCAAAGTGCATGGAAATTCAAATTCCATGCAAATCGCCGACGAGGATTTTAGCAATAATGATGGCATCGACTCATCACAAGATTTTGAAATAAACTAAATTTCGAGGAATTTCTGGAAGATCCAGTCAGTGTGCATAGTAATGACAACGATTGAACGTTATCAAAACGTGTCGATGATATCGATGATATTAATGATACTATCAAAAAAAAAGAAAATTTAGGCAAATTCGAACTTACTGGAGACTTATCACGTGATAAAAGAAAGTCGGATTAGAGGGCAATGTAAAATGTTTAATTCAAATGATATGCATCAAAATTCAGCTTATCTTTGATATCATGAGTTAATTTAAAAGCAGATTTACAATTTGTACAAAAGGAGACAAAACATAAAGTTTCAATTACGAGATTTGGCAGGTATTACTGTGACAGATAATAAGATTGCTGAAAATGAATTAAATAAGATTTTGACGAAGAAGACTTTTTGGTACATATAAACGAGTTTTGCTCATTTAAGATCATTAATTTTAAATAATTTTATAATTGTATAAAATTCTTGTAAATATTTTTTTACACATCATTTAGAAAAATTAAATTTATTATATTAATGATTAATCGGAGGGATTAAATAAATTTATTGGACAATAGATAGCGAAAATTAAATAGAACTTTATGTAATATTTGAAGTAGTTATCTTTCAATAAAGTTTCTTTCAAAGGTTGAACCAGTGTAAAAAAATTAAAATAAAATTTTAAGAATAAGACATATATTAAACTATAAGATATTATACATTTATTCAATAAAGTTTGTATAATTAACTTTTAACAAATCATAAAAAAATATCATTTACATGCTAAAATCCTGACTTCTGGAAGGGATGCATTTATTAGATAAAAAACCAATAGCTCCTTTTGGGGTTTCCCATTGGTGAATCATAATAACTTTTCGGATCGCACAGTCTTGCACTGGCGACGTATCATTCAAATTTCTGCCCTATCAACTTTCGATGGTAGGATAGAGGCCTACCATGGTTT